CTTTGCTCTTTTGGTTATTGAAATTTTCATATGAATAAGAAAGTTTGTTATTGTTTCAGGATGATCTTCTCATGGAAAGAAAAAAAGGAAACTGGGAATGATTACATTCCGCATTGATTTATATGATAAGTAAACTTCCCTTATCTTCAAGGGCAAAGAATAATGAATTACTCAATAGAAACACAGAGGATAAGCACATAGCAAAAGAGAAAGAAAATAAGCAAAAGGGATGCTTTTCTGTTTATAGAACTGACAAGTAGGGTGTTCATCGCATGTTTTATGCAACTAAATAAGTTTATATGTAACACAAGATTGGGCGTCCTCTCTATGAGATGATTCTATACAAAAAACAAGGAAGGAAGTCAAGGAAAGGAAAAGAAAAAAAATTACTTATAAAAAGCACGCATCACTCTTTTTTATTTCTTTATCTTTTCTTTCTGTTTCTTTACTTTCTCTACTCTGGTCTCTTATGGTCTCTTATGGTCTCTCTCTCTTTTTGGTTTGTGCCTTATCTACTTCAAGAACGCGTCTACTGACATCTCTGCTTTCTCTGAAGTTTTCTCTTTACTTGATCCGTTTTCTTTGCTTGGTTCTTTCTATTTGGTTTTAAGCAGCTACGTATTAAGGATATACTAGTTATCTGTAGTCTAACAATGGTATGGGGTAGGTGTGGTTGCGGTAGACACTACACTGGCGAAAGCTGTGTAGTTGTTTTCTGTTGTCTCTGTCTCTGGTTCGTTTTCTGGCAAGTACCTTATCTATTTCAAAAACGAGTTTGCTGATGTTTCTGCTTTCTCTAGGTTTTTCTCTATTTGTTTAGTTTTGTCTACTGGTGTTGCTCTCTCCATGGCTTTCAGTGTTCGATCCTAATCGTTGTTGGCCTGTTATTAGCCAATGATTTACTTTCTTATCTTACTACCTCGAGAGTAAGGTACGGGGTATATAGGCGTTGGTCTGCAGCGGGATGAAGGGTAGTCGCTGGGAGTTATTGACGGTTTCTTATAACTATCTGGCATTTCCTAGTGTATCGCAAGCCTGAAAAGGTATCAAGAAAGGAAGTGAAGGAGTACAAGTCAGTTGCCTTCTCGTGGCTACTCCTGTGAGTAACTTCTCTATGAAGTGAAACTAAAGACTGACGCCATTTTTTTTTTTTGAAATAAATACATGTATAAATATAAAATATAACAAGTGTTGCCTTTCTTATTTTTTTGTGATCACTTTTTCCGATAATAATAGCAAGAATAATAATAACATACAGTCAGAAACAGTGAAAAATAGTCGCGAATACATCCAAATGCTACAATACATGAGACGAAAGAGAATTTTTTTTTTTGGGCATCAATCGTATTTCATGAGCTACTTTTTTTCATTTGGATTGAGTACATTCTTAGACTAGAGACTCATGCTCTTGCTATAAGATTATTTTGTGTAAACCAATAGACACTGTAAATAAGTAGACAGAGCCTTATATAAAAACAGACTTTTTATGCAAAATGATCAATTGAATACAAAAAGGCATAAATACATTCGCAAAGAAGACGAGATAGACAGTGCTTGCTTATTTGTAGATCAAGAATTCACAATCATTCATAAGAAATAATGACCAACTGCTGTTTTTATAAATGTGCTTCTTGGTTGTTGTAAACTGATCAAACTGTTATGATCCAGAAATATCATTACGTCTTTTTTTGGAGCATAAAGAAATGTCAAAGAGGTTTTTTTTTCTTTTTTGAGAATATGAAATAAAAACAAGGCCAATCTACTTAGGAGCTAACAGCTGTTGCTTATACACGAAACGGAATACAAAAAAAAAAAAATAATAAGCAACAAAGGCTGCAGTAAATGTACGCCGATGTACAAGAGAGAAAAAAACGAGCCGTAAAATTATGAGCCACATTCATTCGTTAGCACTTTAACATTTTTCTATAAGCAAACATTCTCTTTCTTTGATCTAGGCGGATCAAGTGTGCTCTCCATAGTATATTCTATTCAAAGAAATAATTCAATATCACTTTGATTACTTGCTTAACAAAGTCTCCAGGACGAGAAATGCTTCAACAACATAAATGATAACAATCCATACAAATCCTGTTTTTTTTTCATAGACATATAAAGGTAGCATAGAGCCTGTTTATGCTCATATAAATGCTTTAAATGGCCGAAAATCACTCTGATCCAAAGGGTACTACTCACGAAGATTATCGAGCTGACAGCTACTTGGAGCTTCTTATTGACGCTACAAGACAAAAAATGAAGCTGCCAACAAGCATAGACACTCAAAATGTGTGCCAAAGGCTCTAGTTCGCAATGAATGTACTTGTTTGCTAACTATACCATAGAGTTGAGGAGATATAGATGAACATTTTTGCTGTTTACTCATTACTTTAGCAGCAAGTTTATCGTGTTCTTTATACAGAAAGGCTCAAAAAACAAAGTTCTGCAGCTTTTGTCACTACACCAAAGCCATAAAGCTGCGTCTTTATGCGGTGGGAGGAAGAACTGGAATCATTCTATTTCAATCTCCACATATAACCATCCTGTATGTCCTATGTCCACTTGCTCCCTCATTCATATTATAAGTACCTATACTTTTACTTTTGTATGCTTTGATAGCACTCAGATAGCACTCAGATAGCTCAAGATGTCTTTTGAAAGTTCATCTCCAACACATTCTATATGATATTTAGAGCAAAAACGCTCAAAACACAGCTTAACCATGTCAATCTTTGATGGATCATTGCTCGACAACCAGATCATCAAAACAACCCAGAAATCAAATGTTACCATTGGTTTGGCTTTTGGGTGAATTTCATTTTTTGACCGATGTGGGATCCACGGAAGTTCGTGAAGATGAAAAAACAAACTCGATCAAGAATTTCTTAGAATGACCCCAATGTAGGTCTGATACAACCGGAATCATATAAGTCCATCTCTAGATACTTTTGATGAAAAGAAAGCCAGTTTACTAAGCTAAGAAAGTCGACTTAATTTGAGCACTGTCTTCAGATCTGCATTCAAAGTTTGTTGCACACTGTAATTGGTTGAAAAGAGATTCATTTTAGTATATATCAAATATCAAATGAGCTCTTTTTTTTTTGCGCCATTTGTTACGCATGACATAGAAGAGAAAGGTATGCTACGATAATTGGTAGTCTTGAGATCGAAAAGGCAGCTTACGACACGATGAACAATGAATGGCATGTAAAAAGGAGATCAGGTATTTTAAATCCGCTCTTCTTTACTTTTTCTTACGTACAAATTGTTACTCTCTGCTCTGCAGATTGCTTTTTTTTTTCTCTTTATTAGTACTTGTAATGACTGTCTGATCAGTTGGTAGAAAGAATAAGAATAAGAACAGAAGACGGAAACTCTAGCCACTAGACTTCAACTACACAAACTCGAAGCGTGGTGTTATAGTGTGTTAAAGACAGCGTGACAAGATCTAATCAAAGATGAGTCCTGATGGTAAAGCAAGAAAGCCCACTACTGCTTACAACAAGAGATACAGAGGCTAAAAGGAGAGGTTGTATTGGTGCAAATCAGGAGCCACTACCCAAAAAAGAAGAAGAAGAAGAAGCTTTGATATTCACAAACAGCA